ATTGATTTTCCTTATATGTGTATGGCAAAAACTTAAAAATCTTCTTTTGAAAAAACCCATATAGCTAGAGTTTAGATATTAAGCATGAAACACCTTCTAATCAGTGTCTACAAAGTTTGTTCAAATAAAAGCCCCAGGGTCAAAATTGGCCCTGCCCCGGGGGTCATTGATTTTCCTTTTTTGTGTATAGCAAAAACTTAAAAATCTTCTTTGAAAAAACCCAAAATAGCTAGAGTTTAGATATTTAGCATGAAACATCTTTTAGGAAATATCTACAAAGTTTGTTCAAATAAAAGCCCAGAGGTCAAAACTGGCCCTGCCCCAGGGGTGTCATTGTTTTTAACTATATGTGTATAGTAAAAACTTAAAAAATCTTCTTTTAAAAAACCCAATGAGCTAGAACTTAGATGTTTAGCATGAAACATCTTCTTATGGGTGTCTACCAAGTCTGTTCAAATAAACAAATAAAAGCCCTTGGGTAAAAATTGGCCCGGGGGGGGGGGGGGGGGCGCGCTATATACAGGTGAGCGACCTCAGGGCCATCATGGCTATACCTAAGGTAATAACACAAACAAATAATCTTAAGATGACCATATCTTGTACATTATTTGTATTCAATGAAAACACATAATGTGGTTACCATATTTTATTAATATTTTTTATACAAGTAAAGTATTACATAAATTCAAAAATTAAAAATATACAAAATTTTCTTGTAAATATTTCTATAATGATATGTATATATTTATGAATGAAGTGACTTCAGAAGTCTGATTATATGCTCTAAACAAGCTGATTAAACCTATCTGCACCATAGCCATGCCTACTTAACTTTACTCTTGACTGGGTCCTATATAACCCTATGGCTCATCATAAACTAACACACTAGGTAAATATACAAGGTTAGTATCGAGATAAACCACTACACAGTATCCAGTACCGCAAAATGTGAAAAACAAATGAGCCGCATCATGACAAAACCAACATAGTGCGTTTGCGACCGGCATGGATCCAGACCAGCCTGTGAATCCGCACAGTCTGATTAGGATCCATGCTGTTCGCTATCAGTTTCTCTACTTGTAATAGGGTTGGTAAGTGAACAGCATGGACCCTGATCAGACTGCACGGATGCGCAGGCTGGTCTGGATCCATGCTGGTCGCAAACGCACTATGTTGGTTTTTTTGTGACGCGGCACAAATTTAAGTACAGTTCAGCATGTGTCCTGCACCAACAGTAGCATAGTATTATCTCCCTTTACTAAATTACAGCAGTCAAATAATTATGCAGTATTTCTAGCATCACATAATGTAAAACATAAAACAAAAATAAATGCATAACACACACTAGCACTGAACATACCCTACCTGAGGTATTACAATAAAACTATAAACTACAAAAACACACTGTTAGTAACATTAATACATCTTGTTATAAATTGTTTAGAATTTCATACAATGGAATATCTTGCCAACAGGCATTGTCAATGTGTTAGTATTTCATCTTTTTTTTACTCGTTTTAAGATAATGATGTTAACATCTATTCATGCTGTAGCATGTTTTGGCTTATGGCATAGAATTGTAGATGCTGAGTGCCTCATAATGTTAAGTTGAGTTTTGTTAAAAAAAAGATAAACAAAATATCTTTACAATTAAATTGAAACAAGAACTCGATATCATTAAAATTTGTCAGCAATAACACAACTACCCTGGTATCTATTATGTAATCATATTAACTCTGATTACTATTTTGAGACACATAACATGACAGAAATCAACAACTATGACTTACAAATTTTGAAATTGTAAAGTAGAAAATAATTTGAGACATTATTATGAGACTTCAAATCTTTTTTAAACTTTAGTTTTTACTTACAATTAATTTCATAATTAATCAAAATAACATACCATTAAAATAAAGTAAGGCACATGCCTACATACATAACACTTATTTATAAAAGAAAGGTTATTTAATATCAAAACGAAAGTGATATATTAGAATGTACATGAAATATCTGCCTTTGAAGGTCAATTACTTTGGTCATTGTTCCCTAAAGGGCTTGTCCTTCATTCTAGCAATTTAACATACAACCAGAATTGTATTGACAAAAATGTTCAGTTCTAGGAAAGTGAAAAATAGTCCTTTTCTTTAGTAAAATCTTAACTCAATATCTGTAACAGTTTTCTTATTATTTAACAACAAATATATTTTAAACAAACCATCACTTGTATCTCATATCAATCAATATAAACAATGATAAGTTGGTTATTAGGCTTTAAATTAGCGCTGATAAATAGCTTTCTTCTACAACAACTGTCATTTCTTACATAATAAGTTACTTTTTTAATCAATAAGTTTATTACTTGAACAGTGTATAATCAACATTCTGTGAAATATCATTGCATATTACATTAGTGTTTGTATTTGTCATATTATATCAACCAGAAAATCTGACAAGAATTAAAAGTTGTGCTAATAGAATACAGTTTTAGGAAGACCCTATCATCTATGTGACCTTGAAGTTCAATTAGTTTAAAACATATCAGAAGCTTTTTCTATTCTTTGCTTTCCTTTGTTACCATATTAATACAAGACAAAGTGATGTTAAAATGACTAATCAATTACAAGCAAATTATCCTACCAACCTGAAGTAATTTTTACTTGGTACCAACTATAGGTTCAAAAAGTTTTTATAAATATATATTATTAAAACATGTCATGATGAGTTAACAATCCAATATGCTAGCAAATTGACATACATTTTCAATAACCATTTATCACAGACATAAAGGTAAAAGTCTACTACAAGACACTGTTATTTAGTACAATTTTTTTTTTACATTTTGTTAGTTGTGTTGTTATCACAAACATTCTATGTTTTTCGTTTTTTTTCCAGTATGATTTCATTCACAAACTTGTGGTTAACAAAGTTCAGTTAAAGAAAATCTAATGTTTTCATGAGTGGATGGAGAGTTTCAGATGAAGATACAATGGTTTCACTGTCAACAGTTGAAGATTCTTCCGCTTGTAATTTGCTGGCTTTTTATACCTGTAAAACCATACATGAAATATAAATGCAAAACAAAACATGATAATGAGCGACTTAAGTTTTAGTTTCACATTTTCAATAGCTTCAAATTTTAAAAACTCCATTAAATATGCTTACAGGTATAAGTTTAATTACTTTAATATTTACTAAAGAAAAATATAAATAGATTGCCATGTAAATAGAAGTGGGTTTTCATACATCTATTTCATTATATACCAGTTCTGAACATGGGACATTTTTATTCAGATTTGTTGGCAGACAACTGTGTCCAATGTTTTTCAAATTAAAAAGCTGATTGGTTGATTCATGTAGAGAAGGTGACATTTGCAGAAAAATTAGTTAGTAGTGGTGTAAAATACAAAAAACAGTTGGTAGGAGCATAACAGTGTATTTAACTGAAATACCATATCAAACTTAAGCATATTGAGACTAGAATACAGTACAAGTATGTTTTAAGCTTGAAGCATATTAAAACTAGATACATACAGTTCAAGTACTGCTGATCCTTCCTTTATTTCATCACTCTCCATAAACGCCCAGCACCTTGTACTAACACTACCTTTCTTTGGCTTGTAGTGCTTGAACTCAAAGAATATGGCATAGCCTGTAATAACCCAATAAGATTTTATTATAGCTACTCTATATAATGATACAGCTGTATAACACTGAAAACTTAGCTAAAGACTTTTAAAGGACCAACTACATAATAATTGCATCCACAATGATGTATTAAAATTACAATATTATTACTCCTGTAGCTGTTACAAAACTGTTTCTGTTTATTTTATACAAGAGGGCCATGGTGGCCCTGAGTCGCTCATCAGAAACAACTGCTTTTCAGTAAAAGATAAAAGACTACCTAAGAATGCTACAGACAGAGTTTGGTGATTATCCATCAATTATTGTAGTAGGAGATAATATTCAAAGTTTTTCTATTTTTAGCTTTAGCTGCCCCTAAAAGGGGCCAATCAAATTAATATGAGCAAACTTGATAAAAGACTACCTAAGAATGCTACAGACAAAGTTTGGTGATCATCCATCAATTATTTCAGTAGGAGATGATGTTCAAAGGTTTTTCTATTTTTAGCTTTAGCGGCCCCTAAAAGGGGCCAATCAAATTAATATGAGCAAACTTGATAAAAGACTACCTAAGAATGCTACAGACAAAATTTGGTGATCATCCATCAATTATTTCAGTAGGAGATGATGTTCAAAGGTTTTTCTATTTTTAGCTTTAGCGGCCCCTAAAAGGGGCCAATCAAATTAATATGAGCAAACTTGATAAGACTCCCAAGGATGCTACAGACAAAGTTTGGTGATCATCCATCAATTGGTTCTGTAGAAGAAGATGTCTAAAGGATTTTCTATTTTTAGCTCTAGAGACCCCTAATAGAAGGGGCCAATCAAATTAAAATGAGCAAATTTGATACAAGACTACCTAAGAATGCTACAGACAAATTTTGGTGATCATCCATCATTTAATTTAGTAGTAGATGTTTAAAGGTTTTTCTATTTTTAGCTCTGTTGACCCCTAAAAGGGGCCAATTGAAATGCATGAGCAAATTTAAGTGTGACTGTCACAAAGATGCTACAGACCAAATTTGAGGTAAATCTGCCCATTGGTTTTAGAGAAGAAGGTGATTGTTGACGCATGACGCCAGACTCCGGAGTATACTCCTTTGATACTAATAGCTCACCCTGAACCTTTGGTTCTGGTGAGCTAATAAAAAAAATCAAAGTGAATCAGTTAATTTACATTGCTCCTAAGTCCTAATATTATATCAATTGTCAGCTCTTGCATATTAAACAAGTAATTGATATACATGTATAAAGCATTGTTTACCTGGAGGAAGACTGTCAATGGTTTTTTGGATATGAACATCAATGTTGAACACAACATAGGTATCTTCTTTACAATTGGCCACCGGTGTATCTTGGCGAGTAGTCAGATCAGCACCAAGATTATCTGAAAACATCCACAATCTTGTTGCAACAGTTTCAATTTAATCAAGAAGTAAAAAAGAATACTAATCTTATAAGGTTACATTTCTCCATTTAATGTGGTAAATTATATTATTTTCTAATTGATAGTTCTGCAACTTTGTTGTGCATTAACATCTGCAGAAGCATGGGGACGCATCCCCAACATGCACGGCTAAAAAAAGGTCCAGCAAGCCCAAGAAATGCTTTTATTTTCATTTCTCAAAACCTTTTTATATTAAACTGTTTTTTTACATTGCATCCTGAGTCATGCATATTAAAAAGCAGATAATTCATGTTTTCTTCTCCATTAAAGTATACCTGCCAGGACAGTTTTTATGATAGAATAAGTTACAGATGTGTATAGAATGTAAACATAGAAAAATATGTATCTCAAGGTCTTGGGTGTATCATTCACTGAAACCCGGATGTGGCCTTTACATAGATAGAAGATGTAGTACAACTTAACAAACAAAATATTCATTAGAATAATGATGTAATAAAACCACATGCCTCTCTTCACAATCTAGAATATGCTTGATTTTAGAATATAATTATCCTCTAACATTCTTTTAGTAACACAGGTAAAGGTGTCACTTTGAACTTCCTTACCTTGCTGGAATTAAAAGTAATTAGCCTTTGCCGCCAGAATTGACAAAACTATAGTTGTTAACTTTAAATTCTCATCAAGATAATATTTATAATTGTCAGTTCCAAAGATGGAAGCTGGACAAAACAAACTAAGAAATTTAGCAGGTGGGTTAATAATTCTTGTTTGCTTGTGTAATCATTCAATAGATGCACTGATGCACCCTGTCAACAGTATACTACATCAGAATGACCAAACCTAGAATAATGCTTAAAACAGTGTTTAGTGTGTGGCAGACACTCATAACCACCAGGCTACAAGCCCTGCATTTTACTTCTACAGCAGAAAATGGTAACAGAAAACATAACAAACCTTTAACATAAACAGACATGTAAGGATCAATGTATTGTTTGGCATCCTTCAACCCAATCTTGAGTATTCGTATTGACAACACTGGTTTCCCACTGAATGATATTGGCTCAGGAAGTAAACTTCCTCTCTCTGAAAATATAAGTGATTTTGACAGGAACATGAAAACTTTGATTATTAACAAAAACAAATTCTCTCCAAAATAAATTAAATTATTAGTTATTTTCAAAATATTTACAGAGGAATCAAATATTACCGGTAGTTAAAAACAGAACTAATTTCACATTTTTATGGGGGAAAATGGCTACTTTTTCCCTGTGTCACTTCACAAGACAAATGAAAACAGATTTATGAATCGTCCACATAAGAAAAGAAAGGAATGACTTGGTTTATTATTTACAATTGTATAATAACTCTACATAACACTTTGATTACAAAAACATCATACTTTTTATATACAATAACAAAACCAAAATGATATACAATAATTACATCCTTGGTCAAAACAGAATACCTTGGTAGTTGGTAAGCATGACATAACATAAAAATATCAAAACACAAATACATGTGTATTGTCTAACAGTTAAAATAAATAAAATTAAATGGCAGCACTTGCTTCACATGAAAATTTCAAACTTACATCACAGAAAATATTTGGACATTTTGTTATAATTCTGTACTCCTGGATGAAATCTAATACAATTATTTTTTTAGTTTTTAATCTTTTCCTGGCCATATAAATTTAAATACTAAGCAATTAGCCATGAACTTATTCAACATGTATTAATAGTAAGTTAATTGTCATTCAAGTTATTGATCAAGCTAGAGCTCATCTGTCTTCATGGTGAACAACGTAAGATTTCATAAATGTGTTTAAAGTTTTAAAAAGAATTAATCAGTACAATTATTTCAAATCATTACATACATGGTGGACATTATAAACAAAATTGTGCAACAACCAAAATTAAAGTGATAAAAAAGCAAGTTACAATCTAAGAGCTAAATGGTTCAGAAAAAGACCGAGTGTATATTTACCCCTCAATGGCTGTCTTTCCTCTTCATTATCAAGATCAGGTAACCTTGAACACAGAGACTTTACATCTAAACAACATTACATAAAAAAACCCACAACATATCTACATGCAACTAGCTCAAATGTCCAGGAAAAAAGGTAGCTAATGGTTCTTAGAAAGAAAGGATTCAAGAATCTAAGAAAAAACCCTTCTAATTCAAGTAATGTAGGTGTCCCAACTTCCTATCATGAAAGGTAAAGCTGAACACAAGCTAAGTTTTCGCTGCAAAGACTCATTGTAGAACAAAAGAAAAATAATTGTTTTGATGATAAAATTATCACTGAAAGCTCACAAGTGGAGTAGATGATAGGCCTATTATTTTTTTATTTCAGAATTGTTTTTAGAAATAAATATACCTGTCATAAATTAATAGATAAAAAAATATTGTTGAATACATTATAAAATCATGTCCTAATTGCCATAAATAGGAAAATCCTGTTCTTTGGTCATAATTGCTTCAACACATCTTTTTTTTAAATAAATCATACATAAACCTTTGTTTAAGGTAGAAAATATGTTTATTTACCTTGTAAATATATTAAGGACGTTTCGGGAGTTTTCATAAAGACATAATTATAGGCAAAATTAAAACTGTTCAATAGAATTTCTTTAAACTTTGCATGTTGTTAGAATATGATAACAGAAACATTTTAAGCGAAAAAAATTGGGTTCACCGTTCTTGTTTTTGAGTTATCTGCCCCTGAATCAGAATTTTCTACTTATTTGAGGTCATTTCAAGGGCAGAGAACTTATACATACTTAAACGAATTCTTGATTTTACTTCTGGATTATTTTTTTCTTTTTATTGTTGAGTACAATACATAATAACATGCAATTCCTTATATCGTTTCCGTTATTTTTTTTCAATGAAAATAAAGGTACTTTAAATTCTTAAAAAATAGGGCATTTTTTAAGAAACTAGAAATGTGTCCATAGGACACGGGTGCCCCAACACTCCACCGATTTGTCAATCTTATGTCTCTAGGTCAAATATTTTTTTAGTTTCGTGCGACACAAGTTGAAAATTGATAATTTTTACTAAGTCAAGGGCAATAACTCAAAAAATACTAAATATATTCACACGAAAATACCCAGGTGCACAACTAAACATGCTGAGCAACTTTCCTGTAAGGTTTCATGACTCTAGGTCAAATGCTTTTTTAGTTACGTGCGACACAAGGTGAAAATTGGAAATTTATACTAATTCAAGGGCAATAATTCTAAAAATACTAAATATATCCACAAAAAATACCCAGGTGCACAACTACACATGATGAGCAACATTCCTGTAAAGTTTCATTACATAAGATCAAATAGTTTTTGAGTTACATGCGACACAAGTTGAAAATTGCAAATGTTTACTAAGTCAAGGGCAATAACTCTAAAAATACTAATAATATCAACACGAAAATACCCAGGTGCACAACTTCACATGCTGAGCAACATTTTTGTAAGGTTTCATGACTCTAGGTCAAATACTTTTTGAGTTACGTGCGACACAAGTTGAAAATTGGAAATTTTTAATAATTCAAGGGCAATTATTCTAAAAATACTAAATATATTCACAGAAAAATACCCAGTTGCACAACTACACATGCTAATCAACATTCCTGTAAAGTTTCATGACTCTAGGTCAAATACTTCTTTAGTTACGTGCGACACAAGTTGAAAATTGGAAATTTTTACTAATTCAAGGGCAATGACTCTAAAAATACTACATATATCCACACAAAAATACCCAGCAGACATTTTCACAAAAAATCTTATGATTTATCTTAAGTTTTTGACTTACGATAATCGTAAGTTAAATCTTAAGTCATTTTCACAAAGCCACTCGTAAGTTAAAATTTTATCTGAAGATAAAAAATTCACTTACGATAAATCTTACGATAAAAACATCCATAGCAACATTCATTTGATATTGATGTGCATGCTCTATATTGAATTCCGGTTTTAAAATCAAGTAATAAAGAGCTTGAAATATCTACTGAACACAATCAAATTTCAATAAGAACAAAAAAATGATTCAAACTGATATAATTCTATATCTTGATTGAAGATAATTATAAATATCTAAAAGGTCTACTTTGTTATTAATAAATAAAAGGTACCACTAGTACATGTTGGCAATGAAATCGAACTCACCAAATGTACAAATTATTAGTTTTCAATAATACTACAATATAGTTCACATTTAAACTATTCATAACCCTCTCCATCGTGACGTCATCAAGTCATGACGTCACAAATGTTTATATTTAAAAATAATTAAACCTCAATTTGTGTAATTTATAGCATACTGTTTGCTTAATATATATTTGTCCTCCAAGTTTTTGTTTGTTTTTATTGAGTTTAGGTAAGAGATACGTGATATTTTACCCTTAAGAGAGAAAAAATTACACTTACGAGCGGGGAAGACCTATCGTAAAGTTACGACAGATTTTGCACTTAAGATTTTCTTAAGATTTTTTGTGAAAAGGAGATTTATCATAAGATTTCTCTTACGATAAAAAATTGTCGTAAGATTTTTTGTGAAAATGTCTGCAGGTACACAACTACACATGCCTAGCAACATTCCTGTAAAGTTTCATTACATTAGGTCAAATATTTTTTGAGTTACATGCGACACAAGTTGAAAATTGCAAATTTTTACTAAGTCAAGGGCAATAACTCTAAAAATACTAAAAATATCCACATGAAAATACCCAGGTGCACAACTAAACATGCTGAGCAACATTTTTGTAAGGTTTCATGACTCCAGGTCAAATACTTTTTGAGCTACGTGCGACACAAGTTGAAAATTGGAAATTTTTACTAATTCAAGAGCAATAACTCTAAATATACTAAAAATATCCACACGAAAATACCAAGGTGCACAACTTCACATGCTGATCAACATTCCTGTAAGGTTTGATGACTCTAGGTCGATTACTTTTTGAGCTATGTGCAACACAGAAGGAGAACGGATGGACAGACGGACAAGGGTAAATCTAAATGCACCCCCCCCCCCCCCATAGTGGGGGCACAAAAATGCACAGGTAAAATGAAAATGTGGAAAGAAAACTACCCACTCTAAATTTGTTCTTGAAATTTTGCATATCGACAAATAGGAAGGTAAGCTTCATGAAAATAAGAAAAAAAATTATCTGCCCTTGAATTTAACGAAAAACTTGAATTCAAGGGCAGGTAATTCGAAAATGAGAACAATGACCCCAATTTTTTTCTCTCTTAAAATGTTTCTGTTATCATATTCTAAAAACATGCCAAGTTTAAAGAAATTCTATTGAACAGTTTTTATTTTGCCTATATGTCTATATGATAACTCCCAAAAACGTCCTTAAGACCATCAACTCCTTGAAAAATGTTATACTGGTAAATGAGAATCACAATAGAAACAATGAAACAAAATATCAAAGGAAAATTACTGACTACAATTCTAAGAAAGTGAACCCGCTTAGTACAAGGATAAAACAACAAAAATGAAAAATTAGTGAAATGTGTGGCTATAATACTTACTGATTATCTGGATGTTTATTTTGAGATTCTATTTGTGCAGCAAGAACATCTACAGGAAAATCTTTAGACCTTTGCTTAAATAAATTCTTCAGTGCTGAAACAAATGTATGAAGCACAGTATTCTTATTCATTCAAAATGCAAAAAGATAATTACATGAATAAATAACTCAAAATAACAAGAGGGCCATGATGGCCCTGGGGTCGCTCACCTGAACATAGGCCCCCAGGGCCGGGCCAGTTTAAACCAAAGGGCTTTTATTTGAACAAACTTGGAAGACACCCATTAAAAGATATTTCATGATGTTAATGTTTTACTATACACAAATAATGAATAACAATGACTTTTGCCCCCTCCCTCCTCTCCCTGGCAGGGCCAATTTTGACCCAAGGGCTTTTATTTGAACAAACTTGGTAAACATCCATTAGAACATGTTTCATGCTAAATATCTTAGCTCTAGCTCTTTTGGTTCTTTAATAGAAGATTTTTAACTTTTTACTCTATGTCTATAGGGAAAATCAATAACCCCTGGGACAGGGCCAATTTTGACCCCAGGGCTTTTATTTGAACAAATTTGGTAGACACCCATTAGAATATGTTTCATGCTAAATATCTTAGCTCTAGCTCTTTAAAAGAATTTTTTTAAGTTTTTACTATATGCATATAGGGAAAATCAATGACCCCCTGGGGCGGGGCCAATTTTGACCCCAGGGCTTTTATTTGAACAATCTTGGTAGACACTCATTAGAAGATGTTTCATGCTTAATATCTTAGGTCTAGCTCTTTGGGTTCTTTAAAAGAAGATTTTTTTAAGTTTTTACTATATGCATATAGGGAAAATCAATGACCCCCTGGGGCGGGGCCAATTTTGACCCCAGGGCTTTGATTTGAACAATCTTGGTAGACACCGATTAGAAAATGTTTCATGCTAAATATCTTAGTTCTAGCTCTTTGGGTTCTTTAAAAGAAATTTTTTTAAGTTTTTAGTATATGCATATAGGGAAAATCAATGACCCCCAGGGGCGGGGCCAATTTTGACCCCAGGGCTTTTATTTGAACAAACTTGGTAGACATCCATTAAAACATGTTTCATGCCAAATATCTAAGCTCTAGCTCTTTCGGTTTTTTAGAAGAACATTTTTTAAGTTTTTACTATATGCATATAGGGAAAATCAATGACCCCCTGGGACGGGGCCAATTTTGACCCCAGGGCTTTTATTTGAATAATCTTGGTATACACTCATTAGAAGATGTTTCATGCTTAATATCTTAGCTCTAGCTCTTTGGGTTCTTTAAAAGAAGATTTTTTTAAGTTTTTACTATATGTATATAGGGAAAATCAATGACCCCCTGGGGCGGGGCCAATTTTGACCCGAGGGATTTTATTTGAACAATCTTGGTAGACACTCACTAGAAGATGTTTCATGCCGAATATCTAAGCTCTAGCTCTTTGGGTTTTCTAGAAGAAGATGTTTAAAGTTTTTTCTTTTGGTTGCCATGGCAACCAGAGTTCTGCATGGAATGGAATTCTTTGAACAACTTTGTTAAGGCTTCACACAAGGAACATCCCTGTGAAGTTTCATTATGATCTGCCTTATGGTTTCAGAGGAGATGTCGTTTGAAAAGTGTGAACGGACGACGGATGACGGACGACGTACAACGGACGACGGACGAAGAGTGATCCTAATAGCTCACCCTGAGCATATGCTCAGGTGAGCTAAAAATGAGCCAGACAAAAATCATTTAAATTATTTATCAAGTAGTAGAAATTGTTTGTTATTTTTTACGGCTGTGCATGATAAAGATAAGAAAAATGCATCTGTGTTTACAAGATACTGTTGTCACTGTTTTCTTGTTAATGTTAATACAGCACTAACCAAAAATGTGTGATGTGGTTATATAATCAATGTACCCAGTAAATACCAAGTAGTTATGGAAGTTCCTAATCAAAAGATGATGTAAAAGTTAATAAAATTCCTCCCAATTACTATGAAAACTGAATCCAGTTCTAATACAAGGTATGATCAAAAAGTTCCCAGCCTGATATACTTCTAGCCACTACACTAACATTTACGTACAATACGTCGATAACGATATCTTATTGAAGATTACTGACCGAATTATATGCAGTTTTTCGCAGATTAAGTAACATAAAACACACTTTGATCAGTAGAGGGGTCTGTCATTTAGACCAAATGGAGAAAATTGAAATCACAGCCATCATTTAAGTACCTCTGTAAGAAAGGGATGTCCCCTAAGGATATTCATGAAGACTTCATGGATTCACTTGGGAAGGGGTCCCCTTCCTATAGCACTGAAGCAATGAAGGTGACATGGAGGTGGTCAATGAGTTCTTTGAGGACCAAAATAGAGATTTCTATTTTGAAGGGTTAAACAAGTTGGAGCACAGGTGGGCAAAGTGCATTGATGTAGAGGGCGATTATATTGAAAAGTAAGACCGGTTCTCTGACTACCGGAAGTACATCGGGCCAAGAACATTTTTAATCAATCCCCGTACATGTTAAATTTTTCAAAAGTACAATAACTTTACATTAATTTTTACAATTAATCATGATTTATTATGAATGACAAAATAATTATCTATAATCTATACTTTAAAATATGTTTGCAGTAAAGTGGAACACATTTAAACTGAATGATATTTACAAACTTTATTGATATATAATGCAATAGTATTCAAATAGGGTGATTTCATTATTATGTGTTATATGTTTGTAATAAATGTAGACTTATACTTTATTAAATACTTATCAATATCAAATGCTATGTTTGCCTTATCAAATGAGTCTGCAGGTCTGTTAATTAAAGTGTAAAGAAAATGAAATGAAAATCAATGTTTTATCATAATGTTTCCTTAAATTATCAATATTGTACAGAAAGAGTTGTTGGTAGGACAGCATGCTCAACTATTCTCAGTGATTGATAGTAAAGTAAGAGCCTAAATAGAATAGAATTTCTAAGTTCAAAAAAGGCCATAAAAGCTAAAAATATGTGAAATAATGTATATTTCTCACTTGCTTCTATTTTCTTCAAATCATCAAGAGATATTCCTTCAGCGGAATCTGGGTTCTGGAAATAAACAATATCATATTTCTTTGTATAATACTCATTATGTTTCACTTTTTTTTAATATCCAAAGCTTTATATAATTTACATTTGCTTTAAGAATATCAATGATATTGACAGTTATTTTTCAATCTTAAATACTTTATTGTTCTTAAATCTTAAGTACCTGTAGAGCTTTGCATCTGAGTTCAAGACATAGAGCTATCTTTCCTAGGATCCTCTGGAAAAAAAGTGATATGTTTATTCATTTGTATGCTGACAAATAATAGACTAGTGCAATAAAAACTCAAAACGGATTTCCAACATTGCTGAATTTTAAAGTCACAGCTAAGGCAGACAAGTGGGAAAAATAATATACTGAAGTTCTAAATATTACATAACCTTATCTTAAGGTTCAGATAAAAATATTTTGTACTTGTTTTAAGGCTATATCATGCTATAATTCTCATGTTTTTTACTTAAGGTAAATAACAACATGATAATAAAACATAAATTTATCTGCAAACAATACACAACTTCACTAAGAACTGAAATGATCAGGCATAACTAATAAAGACTTATCTTTCCTATACTACAATGTTCTCCAAGATATTGCAGCAAAATTTACCTTTTGCTCGTCTGTAAATGTGCTACTATCAGGAGATGAAAATTTCTGCAACTGCTTAGACAACCTAAAATGAGATACATTTTTTTTCTTATTTAAAATCAATATCATTTTTTTTAAATACAAGTAGCAAAAAAAGTTTTCCTAATTAATTTTAATATGAAAGTAAAAGTAGGTTTTTTACACTGTAACACATATTATATATTGAAGTAGTAAAATACAGATGTCTCTGCATTAAAAACTAATGAAAGTATAATATTATAATTATATATCATAATAATGATTGAATTTTATCAAGCTAAACAAACTTTAGACTTCTGGGTATTTCTTTTATGACAGACCAACCTTACTTAAGTAGCCAGTCAAAGGAAACTGCTCAAGCAAGGTGATCACTGACTCCATTTAGAATATGTGGTCCAATTACACACTTGTTAATCAAAACTGTTCATGTTTTGTAAACATATTTATTTGTATAAACTTTTTAAAATGATGAAGCATAAAAACATGTAATTTCTAAAATCACACTGTGTATGAGCATTTAAAAAGATCAAGTACAAAATATTTCTAACTAATTAACTGCTTCTTATACATCTAAAGGTTATTTTCAATGTCTTTCTAATGAACTTTAATTTGACAGACCCTGGTGTATCACTAACTGCCAAATAGTGAAGACCACTTCAAGTGTATTAACCAATTCAAATCACTGATAAAAAGTGACATTATGTTCAGATACACATGCAAATTACATTTTTAAAGAAGCTAAGGCATTATTTTCAAAGAGGTAAGAATAGTTTAAAACTTTCTGTTGACAACAGAAATTATTACCATAAGTGGCTTCAGTATAAAGTTCTTTGATATTTTATCATTATATAAAACAATATATTCTTATTAATTAAAGAAATATAATTGTATCTGAAAGCCAATTATAATCACTACAAAGATGTAAAAAAATAAACAATTTAAAAGGAATGCTCTGATTGCGTAATACATTGACTACATATAATTATAAACCTTTTGAAACAGAAAGATATCAAATATACATCATTATCTATAGTACAGCTGTGGGACCCTGTCATCCTCTATACCAACATAATCTGAACATGTGTTAATTTGCATATAACATACATGTGGCAAATGAAATGGGCCAAATCTGGATTTTCAGCTGGATTTTGAGGCTCAAAACTGGATTTTTTTATCGACTCGAATTTCAGTGCGTGTTTGGCACATTTGGTTCAAAGAATCTATATTACCCTCTAAATCATTAAATGATAATACTTTTTATGATTTTTTTGTTGATCAATATTAATTTATTTCACCAAAAAAATAAATAAATAGATAAATAAATAAGTGTAGTCATACTGGCTTTTTCTAAAACAGTCACACTTTCACATTTCATTATTTTCAGTTTGAAGAATTATAATGTCTTTTCAGTCATTCAATAATTAAACACAAGCTATTTGAAAACGTGCAACAACTATTCATAAACATAAGACTATGACAGTTAAATAACGTAACATAAGTAAAAGACTCAAAATAAATGCAAGAATCGTTCTGTTATTAAATCCACATTTTTGCCTCGATGATTGCGTAATTCCTAAACAAAACAAAAAATTACCCACTCACTAAAAATAGGTTAATTAGACATCTCAAACAGGTTTTGAATGATCCACTTTAAATGATTCTGCTCCCCTTTTATCTTTATCAGTGCGGCACTAATCAAAGAAAATCAAAGGTTGAGCCGAATTCATACATGTAAATTTACAGGGTAGTTTTGATGACGTAGCGTGTAATACCTTCTGCCAAATTACAAAAGAGGTCAATTGACTGACACACGACACGTGATAAGTTAATGTGAGACTCAACATTTAATCCGCTATAATTTAGGATATGGACAGATAACAATCAATGCCCGGAGCCACGGTTTACATTTTAGATACAGGTGCCGTGTTTGATTTTTTTTATATTGATTTTTTTTTAAATATCGGGAATTCAAGCTGTAATATCGGGAATCGGGATCAGTGTTGAAATATCGGGATTTTTTTAAATCCCGCCGGGATGTCACATGTATGAATTATAAAGCACCACCCATGAACATGGCAGATAAAACTATCGTTCCTTTTCAAAGCAATGTTTTTTTTTGGTTACCAGTGGACCTTCATCAAGATTTTGCTAAAATGAGTTTAATTGGTAAAAAAGATCGTTTTTGTAGTATTCTATGTATATCTAACTCAATGGAATAAATCCATTAGCTACAAATTTATAGTTCATGTGATTAAAAAACCTCTTGTAATCATCTATGGCTTCAACTGGTTGGCCCCATAAATCATAATCGGTTCCAGTTTTGAATGCTTTATGCCAGGCTGAGACAACTTTTTCCTCATCTTCAATGTCATTCATTTCAATGACACATCAGACACTTCAAAAATACTACAATTGCATTTGTATTCTTATTGTTTACACATTTACAATTAATCTGACAGGTTCTATCGTAAACTGTCTGTTAATTACAATGTCGTAAAATAAATATACTTCTTCCTGATGTTGTGTAATATAACAGAAGCAATGCGATTTCGAATAAATGTAGATATTTGTCGATATAAGAAAAAAATATTTTTTTCGCATTTATAATTTTACGACTAATTACTACGCATGCGCAAGTATTAGATCCTAGTTTCGGTTAAGGATTATGCGGAAGAAACTGATTTGTAAACACATAATACGCAAATCCTACGATAACATTCGCACAATGATTAAGTTACTATCAAGGAGAAATAATAAACGATGCATTTCAAATGATTATCATGCTGTTATATGTTTATACTTTCTCTGGGAGGGAGAATGAATTGAAGCACTGAATCCTCCTCCCAAGATGGGGGTTTTCCTCCAATTTTTCATAATTGTACACAGTTAAACAATCAGTTATGTTTGCAACAAGTACAAGCAGTGATACTAATACTTATGATTTTTTCTCGGATGAGAATGCTCCAAAATGGAAAGGCATCTTTATGACAGCTCTGAATTTGGTAAGTGATCTGGTCAGCTGATTGACTAAAACAAAACAAACTGTGGATAATCCTATATTTCATAGCAGTCAGAAGATATGTCTTTTTCTTAACACTTTTTAACATTTTTAAATTAGTACATGTACTACTGAATGAAATGTTTCAAACATAATTATGATAATTTGTTTGTAAATTTAGTCTGAATTTTACGCTTGAACTGTGTATGATTTTAAGTCAGATATATCTTGTTGGTTTCGCAATTGTTGGTTCTTTATAATTTTACTTTTTTCCAGTTAACTGAATTGATTACACTTGCAATATACTGTTTTAAGAAAGCAGCTATGCTCTTTTTATTGTAATTTGTCTTGTCTGACTTAATTTTATCTTTACATGTTTGTAATCTACAATTTCATTATATGTATGATCAGTACCAAGTCTAGTTGTACATATTGTTGGCATTTTCTGGTTCAGTAATTTTTGTGAGAGTTATCAATAATTATGGCATTTAATAATTTTCATTTTTAAAGCTTGTCTCACCTACTCCTCTTATACCACTACTGCAATTTTAATGAATCTTTACAGGGATGACCATAGCTCAAGTACTTGCCTTTTATCACAAGGGTTTTCTGCTTGAATTTTAGGTGAGTTATGGCCCTTGAATATAAAAAGGTGTTAATACACAGGGCATTTTTTTGTCAAAATTGTGAAGGGGCCTGGGCCTGTTCATTTTGTGAAAAAAAGCGCGATATATATGTCATAAAATTGTGAGAAAAAAATTGACATATTACTTTTTGAAACCGGAAACAGTTGATTATAATTTTTGACCTGTGTAAAATCTGCTTCAAGTTAACATGCGCAAAAAAAAATTAACTTGATAAAACTACTTCTGTGTAATTGCAATTGGCATAATGATAAATCAAGTTTTACAGGAAGGTAAACAATGTATTTCGAAAGACAAAGGGGGCGTCCGTGGCCGAGTGGTTAAGGTCGTTGACTTCAAACCACTTGCCCCTCACCGCTGTGGGTTCGAATCCCGACAGGGACTTTGGATTCTTTCATGTGAGGAAGCTATCCAGCTAGCTTACGGAATGTCGGTGGTTCTACTCAGGTGCCCGTTCGTGCCTGAAAAAATGCACGGAAGGGCACCTGAGGTCTTCCTCCACCAGTAAAGCTGGAACGTTGCGATATGACCTATACTGTGTCGATGTGACGTAAAACCCAAAAACAAACGAAGACAAAGTCCCATTATTTTGTGTAATCTCTTTTGAAATTGTGAATTTTTTTCTGCCACTTGGTGAAAAAAAGTGCAATTTTGAATTGTGAAGGGGCCCCTGTTATAGAAGGAAAAAGCCCTGATACAGTTTGTCTGGACTACTCCTCCTATACCACTAATGCACTTTCAATGAAATTTACAGGAATGATTTGTAGCTCGAGTACGTGCGCATACTACACGGTTTTTGCTTGAATGATTTTTTGGAGAGTTATTGCCCTTGAATAAAAAAGGTGTTGGTTTTTTTAGTTGCCAGCTACACAGACACCTGTCTTGACTACTCCTCAGAAACTACTGGTGCTATTACAGGAATGATCAATACCAAGTCTAGTTGTGCATATCATGGAATTTTCTTGTTAAATGATTTTGTTCTCTCCATAATATGCAACTTATGCAATTTCATTGAAACTTTACAGGATTGCTTGGTAGCTCAAGTTATTGCGCTTATTACACAGGTTTTATGGTTGAATGATTTTTGGATGAGTTATGGCCCTCAAATGAAAAATGTGTCTTGCCCTGTTAATGATTTTAGTGTCTCCATCTACAAAGCAGCTGCAACATGCAATTGGCTATCATGAGGTGACATGTGATAACTGATTGCTCTTGTTTTAAATTATTGAATTTAGAAATTTAAAGGGAAAGACAAGGTTAGAATAAAAACTTTATTTCAGAAAAAGAATACTATAAATAATAAATCTGCAAATTTTCTGCCGCCAAATAATAACATTAAACGAATGATAACAAAATTTAAATCGCTAAATCACCGATTTCTACAAATCAGTAGGCGCGGCCATGTTTGTGTATTGGCCGTATAAAAACAGGTGCGCGTGATGTCATTTCCCCACATCTTTAGATTTATGATCAATCTAGTTGAATCGTAGCGAAATATTAATATAATAAAGTATTGACCAGACAATTTAATTTTATACAGGAGGTGTAGAGATTTTTTTATGGTTCAAAATACGAAACAATATCCACAAATAAAAATAAAAATAATAAAAAATAAAGAAACAAATAAAAAATCAACGTCTACCGGTCGCACCACTTCAGGCCAGTGATGCCCGTTACTCCAAACAATGCTATGTTCATTAAAGTCTCATCTTAATGTAATTAAACAATATTTCACAGATTCAATAAATACACATGTTATTATTTAACAAAGTTTCACAATCAAATAATGAAATTAATTAAACAAACGCACCAACGAATAATTGGCTGAATTATTGAATGGCGATAATTATCATTATTATAAAAATCCTACTGATGTTTTTGTTTGTCATGTATATATACCACCATCAGATTCTAAGGTTCTTAAATATGCCGATTTCGATTTTTTTGAACAGTTAGAGCTAGATATATTAAAGTTTAATGATTTAGGAAAAGTATTGCTCTCAGGGGACTTTAATAGCAGAACTTCAGATTTGCCCGATTACATTGATTATGATAAATATTTAGACCAAAATTTGACGTTTATTGAAACACGTGATATTCCACTTCGTGTAAACAAAGATAATGTAATTGACCAATACGGACGTCGTCTGCTTGATATGTGTTGCGTAACCGGGTTATTATTAGCTAACGGCCGTATTCTTGATGACCGGCACAAGGGTAATTATACATTTTGTACCAGCAATGGACAAAGTACAGTTGATTATCTACTTTAAATTATTGTGATTTTTCCATGTTAGATGAATTTGCAATACTTGAATTTAATGAATTTTCCGACCATGCGCCAATACTTTTTACGATCCCAAAAATATCACATTTTCCTCAAACTCAAGAAAATTTACAAGATAACGAGAACATAAGTAAATTGTTATGGAATGAAGAAAATATACCCCTGTTTCGAACAAAACTACTTAGTAAGAGTGACGTATTACAGAAACTAACCCGCGATATAAACAACCGCCCTATTGACCACGTGGTACAAACATTTAATCAGCTGTTACAGGAAAATGCACGTGAAGCGTTTGGTACAATAACAAATAAAAAAGTACATAAACATGGGTATGTAAACAATAAATGGTTTAATAAAAACTGTTCCAATGCAAAAAAACAATTTAAAATTGCGAGAAATATTTTTAATAGACAAAAAACCGAGGAAACGCGTAAGACTTATGTAAAAATGCGTACTACCTATAATAGAGTTAAATCAAAGGCGAGACGAAAATTTACAATTAATGAGGCTAAAAGGATAAATAATTTAGCTAAATCACAGCCTAGAAAATTTTGGCAAAACATCAAAAACAGCTACAAAACAAAAACTGAAAAAAGCGAGACCTTGACCGTAGATCAGTTTTATAATTACTTTAAATCTTTATTCGGCGAAGAGTATTCGAACGATGATACTTATTCAATTTTCGATGAAAACATCTATAACCGGGAACTCGATAAAAATATAACTGAACCCGAACTTCGAGACGCAGTTTTCTCACAAAATAAAAATAAATCCCCTGGAAAGGACGAACTTACAAGTGAAATTCTTCAATCATCGTATGATATTATATCAGAATTTCTGTTAAAACTTTTTAATAGGCTATTCAATAATGGAGAATATCCGTTGATTTGGGGAGAAGGTATAATAACACCAATATTTAAAAAAGGAGATATAAACGATACACAAAATTATCGTGGAATTACTCTAGTAAACATATTGGCAAAAATTTATTCTCAAATTCTACTGAATAGACTTACTAAATGGGTAGAAAATAATGAAAAAATTTGTAATAATCAGTTTGGTTTCCAAAAAGGAAAATCTGTAATAGATTGTATTTTCATTCTTCACACTGTAATATCAAAAGTCCTTGATTCGGGTGAAAAACTTTACTGTGTCTTTATTGACTATGAGAAATGTTTCGATAAAGTAGACCGATCTTTCCTATGGCAGAAACTACTTACTGAAAACGTTAGTTCCAAATTAGTTAAAGCAATAAAATCAATGTATAACAAGGTTAAGTCATGTATAAAGTATAAATCTTCATTTTCAGACTTTTTCGAAACACACATAGGCTTGAAACAGGGGGACCCGAGCTCACCTCTTCTCTTCATGCTGTTCGTAAATGATATAAACGACTGTATAAATACAAATTTAAGTGATATTTTTACCATAAATGAGCTCAAGATTTTTCTAATATTGTTTGCAGACGATCAGGCGCTTTTTGCTAAGTCTCCCGAAACATTACAGTTTATGTTAAATGATATCCAAAATTACTGTCAACTTTGGGGGTTGAAAATTAATACTTCTAAGACTAAAGCCATGATTTTTGAAAAAGGCAGACATTCCCAGTATGATTTCTTTATTTACAAACACACGAATAGATATCGTCGAATCTTTTAAATATCTTGGTATTACACTTTTCAAAAAATGGTAACTGGTATAGAACACAAAAAAGAATCGCTCAACATGCGTCATATGCACTTTTTAACCTTTTTACAGTTTTTAGACACATACAGCTACCAGTTTATCAGAAATGTAAACTATTCGATTCTTTAGTAGGTTCAATTTTAAATTTTAGTTCAGAAGTTTGGGGTTTACACGATGCACCAGATATCGAGCTAATTCATACAAAATTTTTGCGTAGAATCCTGGGTGTAAAAAAAGTCAACGAATCTTGCAGCTCTTTATGGAGAATTAGGTCGAGTTCCGATACAAATCTTTCGTAAAGTTAATATACTCCGATATTGGATAAAGATACTTAAACAGAATGACTCCTCAATTGTAAAACAATCATACCTTCTCCTCAAATCCGAC